TATCGGCTCCTGTTGCTTTTTTGAGCCGAGGGTCTCCTGGAAACAGCCTCTTTACCCTTTGGGATAGGGGTAAGGTCTGCGTACATATTACCCTCCCCAGACTCCACTTGTGGGATTATACTAGGTCGTCGTTGTTGTTGTTGTATTTTTTCTCTTTTACTTTGCCTGCATAATTGTATTTACTCCTCTTTTGTTTATAATTTTTATCTTTTACGTAACTAAAGATAAATTATAGTAGGCTCGAAAAAATAAACTAAAAACGCATATTAATTAGAAGATATTGTATAACCGCAACTTCGTAATATGTTAATAAGACATATTTTTTAGTACGTGACCAATATAAAAACGTATGCCAGGAATAATTACTTTTTTTTTTTTTACCAAAAGGAGATAATAATATATTAATACTACCGGTTAGCGTCTATTACATCACCTACATAGTAGCACGTCTCAAGGACGTTCAAATTACCCCACTCGGCTAGTTGGGCACAAACAGACACAGCCATAGTTTTAACAAAATTAACACAAGAAGCCCTATCAGAAGCTAGATTATTTATTACATAAGAGGGTGGGTTGTCCAAGAGTTGGAACTCAGTTCCTTCCTTCAGCGCTTCCTTCGCCATCTTGTGGGCTACCTTGTTCCCTTCCCTAAAGTTATAGATGATCCTCAGCTCCCTCAGCTGGAGCATTAACAATCTGCAAGAGTCAATGATTTTTCATGAGTAATGCAGCCATCTTTTAAAAGATTTATTACCCGTGTGGCATCTGTTTCCACGATCAAAGGGGTGAAGCCCTTCATTAGGGCGATTTTGAAACCCTCCTTAAGAGCTTGAAGTTCTACATGCAGAGATCTTGCTGGGCATCTGTGTTGATAACCTAATAACCAATGACCATTGTGGTCTCTAAAGAGACCTCCTAGGCCTCCTACTTTTTCTTTGTCATTAAAGGCCCCATCAATGTTAAGTTTGTAGCTGTGGGGAGGGGGTTTATGCCAACCTATCTTGATTGCATGGGTAGGAACAGTGGTTTTTTCCTTCTCAGTTATTAGAAGATACTCTATAGCTAGGGCTATAGCAGTATTGGGGTTGAGATAGTAATTGGTGTTTAGATGGTTGTTGTTATTTATATTGAGCCACATACTCCATAGGCGAAAAAGATAGTAACCTTTTCATGATAGGTGGGTTGAGGGTGTAGTGATGTCCAAATTGTGCAGGATTTCTAACCAATGTAAATTATCAGAATTTGGGTTGTAGTTGAATCCATTCCTATTCCTGATGTTCCTGACTGCATTGCACTGCAAAAAAATATGTTCTATAGATTCCTTATCATTCTTACAGACTGGGCATATGAGATCTATGTTCATACCAATATAAGAAAGGTAGGATCTAGTGGGTAGCTCATTGTGTCAGCATTTCCATAAAAGAAACTTCATTTTGTTGGGGGCATTTGAGCTCCCAAATCCAACTAAAATCGATAGGCGATTGAGTACTGGGAGTAATAAGGTTGTAGCAACTTTTGGTAGTGAACTTACCATCCCCCGTTAGGTCCCAAGTAATCTTGTCAGTGTGCCCTACCTTTGGTTGAAGAGTCAAAATGCAGTTCGTAGTGTCAACGGGGAGATTGAAATGAATTTTCCCTAACGTCCACTTACCTTCAGTCCAAATATCTTTTATCGAAAAATTAAAGTTATTTTTTGTAAGAGGACCTACAATAACCTTTCTTAGTTCCGGAGACTTAGGGATCCAGTTGGCCTCCCAAATATTAAGATTTGAACAAGATCCAGGGATCCATTTTAACCCTTTGCTACACATGTACCAGCCTTTAATAATACTTTTCCATACGTAAGAAGTGTTGTGAAAATTGCTTTTGGAGCCGTAAGACTTGCCAGCCTTTAGAAGTTAGTAGCTTTGACCATGGACGATCAACATTATGAATAATTCTCCAAGTAAGACTTGCCAAATTTACTGATTTTTTATGCCTAGCAGCTCAAATACCCAGCCCACCATGACACTTATCTTTGGTAACTGTATCCCAAGCTACTAGATGAATTTTTTTAGCAGTTAAGGTCGATCCCCAGATGAAGTTTCTCTGAAGTTTGTCAATGTGGTTGAGGATTTTTATGGGAAGGAAGTTGTAATGCATGTTGTGATTTGGCATACTATTTAAAGTGGCACGAGCTAGAGTTACCCTTCAAGACTTAGGTTTGTGGTTAGTGATGGGGTATCCTAGATATTTTCAGAAGCTTTTGCTAGTGTTGATATTGAAAAGCTTAACCAACTCTTTGGAAGTATGTTTTGGGCAGTTTCTGGACACTATCAATTTCGACTTATTGAGGTTGATTAGTTGGCCAAATAATTTGTAGAAATAATTAAGGCATTGAAGCATGGTTGTAGGAGATTTTTTATCAATTCTACATATTAATGTTAAATCATCTGCATAGAAGAGATGAGATAGTTGATATTTGTTACTTCCCATTGATATAGGTGTCCAGTATCCTATGTCTACATAGTGATTTATATGGATGGATAACATTTCCATACATAATATAAAAATATAAGGTGATAGAGGATCACCTTGTCTGATGCCTCTACTCAGAGTAAAAAAATTACTTCTACTACCATTTAGAAGGACAGATATTCTACTAGTTGTTATGCAACTCATAATGAGAGTAGAGATCTTAGGAGGAAATTTAAAAAAAATAGAGAGTCCTATAGATAAAAGACCATTCTAATCGATCAAAAGCTTTTTCAAGATCAATTTTTAGGACCATATTTGCATTGGTACCTAACTGCTTGTGCATTTTTAACATAAGTGTGAGCACGTGATTTTTGCCCTATATGAATTACTCCCATAAATTCAAAACAAAATAA